TGCGGGGGCCGCGTCAAATATGTGGCCGCAAAAGGATTCTGATAAGAGCTGGATGGATACACTTTTTTTCAGAAAATGCAGAATTGTCCGAGTCCCAGAGGGGGGAGTTGAGGATGCTATTGTGTTAATTATCTGATGTATTTAGTAAGGGCAAATTTGACATCGGCCGCACTACGCTTTTGAGTCACCACATCGATTCGGGCGACGCCGCTCTAATCCGACAGAATCCCTACCGGCTGAGTCCTACGGAAAAATAACACGTATGGCTGGCGTTTGATGAAATGTTAGCCGCAGATATTATTTCGCCGTCCACCAGCCCATGGGGAATCCTGATTGTTCTTGTTAAAAAACAGGATGGTCGTGTGCGCTTCTGTGTTGACTTCCATAAGCTTAACAAGATATCTGTTGCCGACACATATCCTTGGAAGGACGATTCCCTGGATGCTCTAGCAGGAGCACATTCCTTTTCCACTCTTGACCTCATATCCGGATTTTGGCAGTTGCCACAGGATGAAGCCTCTAAGCCAAAAACAGCCTTTCATACACCACAAGGCTTGTTCGAATTTAATCGGCTTCCTATGGGTCTTCATTCTGCGCCGGCTACATTCCAGCGATTGATGGAACTGGTTCTAGCTGGTCTCCAGTGGGACTTGTGCCTGATATATCTCGACGATGCTATCGTTTTCAGATGTACGTTTACAGAACACCTCGAACGTTATGTGCTGTCTTTCCTAAAATGCGTGCAGCCAAACCTCAAGTTTAAACCACAGAAGTATCACCTTCTCCAAAAATCTGTTCGGTATCTTGGCCACATAGTCATTAAATCAGGTATTGCGACGACTCGGACAAAACCGCGTGTGTTCGTACTTGGCCGACCCCCACGTCGGTGGGGGAGGTGCGGAGTTTCATAGGATTTGCGTCCTATTACCGCTGTTTTGTTGCCAGGTTCACTACTATCGTCAAACCTCTCCACGCTTTGATGGCAAAAGGTCGCATTTGTTGCGCTCCGGGATGGCTTGGTGAACGCCCATCCCCTCTGCTACCCCAACTTTTCCTTGCCGTTCGTCCTTGATACAGACGCTAGTAACACCAGAATTGGAGCTGATCGGTCTCAAGTTGTCAATGCCATCGAGAGTGTTGTCACATATGGAAGCAAAGTGCTGTCTCCGGCCGAACAACAGTACTGTGTCACACGCTGGGAACTTTTGGCTATTATTTTTTTCGTGCAACAGTATCGCCCCTATCTGTATGGCAGACGCTTTGAGTTGTGCTCTGACCATGCAGCGCTACAGTACGTGCTGCATATTGAACAGCCGTCTGGCCAACTTTCACATTGGTTGGAAGTCCTCCAGGACTATTCATTTACTGTTTCTTATTGAAAAGGCACCCGACACGCGAACGCAGATGCCCTGTCGCGATTACCAATGAGCGACAGGTGCATGTGTTTTTCAGGCTCGGGGTGCTGTAAGAAGCCCGCCGAGGACTCGCCCCCTCCCCTTGCGGCGTCGGCAGAGGTTGGAACCTCTGAGGTAGCCGAGGGTCCTATGGCGCGTGATGCCATCATTGGGTTGGACCATGCAGAATGGGGATGCCTCCAAGTTGAGGATACTTTCCTGCTTAAATTGCGATGCCATGTCAACGAGGCTGATGGAGGTGGGGATCGACGGGGGGTTGCCTCTGTCATTCTCAGAGGTGGATTGCTTATGCATTAGGACGGAGGGTTGCGCCGTTACAACATTGTTGTACCCACTGCCTTGCGGGGTAAAGTAATTTGGACATGAGCCACACGTAAGCTGGCATGGCTGAAGATGTCGCTAATTTGTTGAAAGGGTGTATGCAGTGCGTGCAGCAGAAACTGCCGTCTAAACCCTGCTGTCTACCATTGCAATCCATTCAGGTATCACGCATATATGAGCTGGTTGCTCTGGATATCCTTGGTCTATTTCCCCCTACCCCTCGTGGGAATAAGTATTTGATAGTGGGAGTCGAGTATTTTTCACAATGGCCGATGGCCTGGCCACTCCCCAACCAGTCGGCAGCAGAAATCACGGAGGCATTTCTCAAACACGGCTAAATAAAACATTTCTGACTCCATGCGCTTTCCCCTTCAGAAGCTTTCGGAAGTGCAGGAGGCTTCCCCGTTAGTTATTGTATATTCATCGCACCAAGTGAATTCATTCCATCTCCACTACGCAGGGGCCGAGTGTCAAATGTGTCCGGTGAGCTGAGGTGTGTACCCGCTGAGGTTGGTCCTCAGTGGAGTCATATGATCCCGTCCTCAGGTGTCGCGCGTCTAACGTCCCTTAAGCCGCCACCTGTGCCGACTCCACTGGATTCAGGAGAGGAGAGCCTGTCCGCCTGGCCGACTGCCCTTCATGAGGAGCCGGGTTCGATGGGACATTTGCAAATTCCCCTCGGGACCTCCAGGGAGAGTGAGCCCACCTCCCCTGGGGCCCCGGCCACAAGGACTCGATCAAAGACTCTTCGGTTTTCGTGATCCCCATACACACACGCTTCCATACCGTTAGTTGGTTGTCGAACTTGGCAGGCTGTTTCGGTTATTGGCTGAACCTAGCCTTTATTATGCTTGTGGGTGTTGTTACATGGTGAGGGTGGGAGATGCTGATGATGGAGGGGGTCCCATGCGTTCGCGTTTTACTGCGGTTTATATTTTTTTCTCCTCTCTCTTCGTTTGTTGCCTATTGTTGTTCTGTACTTTTGTCCCCTTCCCCAATTTAGTTACTGTATATTTGTAGATAGCGTATATATTGTATAGGTGGGTTGGGGAATTTATTTGTTGAGGCAAACATTGGGGTTTTGTTCACTGTATTCACTTTGTTCGTTGTTAAAGGGGAAGTTGATAGCCGGGACGGCTGAGTGCTACAAAGGGGGGTGATGTAGTGACATCGCGGGATGTTACTGTATAATGCCGGCCCGAGAGAGGCACGGCGTGTGGTGTATTGACATCGCAGACACCACTAGGATGTGGGTGCAGTACCAGCCCTAGAGGGGCTCGGTGAGCGCTGATCGATAGCGCTACATGGCACCATGCTAGGCGTGCATTGCCGACCTCTACAGGATAGAGGGTGGGAGTGCCGGCCATGGAAATGGGGTTACTAAGGGCTGTGGTACTCTGGTTGACCACAGAGGACACATGACCGGTTAAGTCTACACAGGGGCCCCAAGTAGGGGCTAGGGGTGGTCACTTGTCAGGGTCGAGATCCTGCTTGAGGATTCCGGAAAGTGGTCGTGGCCAAGGGCGGAGCCAGCCATGCCACAGAGGATATAAGCTTGGTCCCCCAGAGAGACTGGCTGCTGTTGTTCATCTTGAAGAAACCTTTGTCTACATTCTACAGAGTCTCCAACACGTGGACCTGGACTCAAGCTGTGGCCCGGTCCATTGTAGCTAGTTATGTTGTAATTAGCGTAGTGAGCCTGGTGGTCACCACAATTGGTTGTTATTCTGTTAAGGGGCAGTTACCACGTGTGTTAGTATTAATAAACGTGTTGCCTCCAAGAGTATGTCTGCGACTCAGTTGAACTCACTACATATGCATTATCTTTTAAACTGATTGGCCTACACCAGAGAAAGCCTTCTTGATGGCCTTTTCTCACCAGTGTTAGACCAGAGAACGCCCAAAGGTGAAAAGTACAAAGACAATGCAAGTATCAGAACACTTATAGCTCGGGTTGAGCAGTTTCATCTATGGGACATTTTTTTTTATACTGACAACATAGAAAGCAGTTAACTAAGTGTGTTGTGAAAGATGATGTGAGCAAATGAAGGGTGTGTGAAAAGGTCTTCTGTCTTGATAATCTGCTCAACATACGGTATGGAAGAATATAGGTGTATTTACCACTCACTGAGCCACAGCAAATATCCCATCTGTATAATTAGGCATATAACAAATATAACCACAATGCATTTCAAAACGGGGAAAAATTTTACATATGTAATAACGTTCAGGAGGACTTGGACGCCGGTGTTGGAGGAAGACTTATTTATTCCGTACAAGGTGTAGAGGTGTAATTGCGCATGGCTACGAATGTTGAGGTGTGATTATGCATGGCCACGGATGGCCAACAAACACAAGGGGCGGGGTTACGGCCGTACACAAGGGTGGCGCTAGCACCGACGTCCGCATGTGTATCCCCCACGGGCCCCCCCCTCGGGGGCGAGTCCTATAAAAGGTGATGAGCTCGAGGGCTCGAGGTCGGGACTCAGCTTTAACCAGAGAAGACGGAAGACCAGCTAGTGTAGGCCCCAGAGCTCCCCTGGCTCGCTGTCCTTATAAGGGCCGACCAGGGCAAGCCGGTGGCGTGGCCCCGAGAGCCCAGACGAAGCTGGTCTGGTGACTCAGGGAGCCGGGATCCCAGCTTAACCAAGCTGGGACAGATAGCCTCCCCTAGTCCCGTAGTGGAGGAATTGGTATAGGTTAGAGGGGTTAGCTGTCGAGAATCCCTGTAGCCAAGTGACCTGTACAACTGTGTTGGTGTAATAAATAAGTGTGCCTCCGATCCTGTCGTCAAGCCTCCATATATACTTACTACATCTGGGGTCAGAAGTAAACGTCCAACGATGGACACACGAGGGACGACACGTACCAGGGAGTCGGAGATGGAAGACGCCGCGGCCGATTCTCCACCAGTGATGGCCGGGGTCGAATCGGAGCAGCCGGGGCCGAGTACGCCCGCGCCGCTACGACAGGAGGAGGGGGATGCGTCGGCCGAGGGACTCCGGCTGGCCCACTCCCGCCTGGCGGACCTGCTCTACGCCGCGGCCGCCGCGTTGGAGGAGATCACGCGGCTGGGGGCTGGAGGAGCAGCGCGGGTCGACGACGGCAGCCGGCGCGGGGCGACGTTTCCCGCCACCCCGACGCGGCTCGCGGTCAAATTTCCCGCCATCTCTACAGTACGAGCGGAGGGCGGGGCCGGCCCGCGTCACGTGTCTGCTGAGCGCCAAGCACAAGCCGTGACATCATCAACGCCGGGCGGCGCGTCAACATCAGAGCGACCGGCGATGCCATGTGCACGGCCCGCCCACACTGTATCATCGGCGGGGAGCGACGGAGAGCGTTCTGCGGCCACGGACGCCGCCTTACAACAGCGTCTGCCGCCTCTTAAAGAATTTGTCGGCGCTGACGGAGACTGGGGCGGCTTCAAGAGGCGGTTCATCGCTCATCAAGAGATGGCGAACTGGTCGGACGCCGAGGCTCTACGCGCGCTGCCAGCGATGCTGGACAACGACGCCCTGGCTACCCTCACCTCGGCGCCGAGGGAAAAGCGCGCCACTCTACACCTGGCGTTGCAGCTGCTGTCAGCCGTCTATGGGCCGCCTTCGGACTGCAGGCAGCTGTTCCACGATCGGAGTCGGGGCGCCAACGAGTCACCCCTGGCCTTCCGGACGGCTCTCCTGGCTCTGGCAAAGGCTGCTTTCCCAAGGATGGACGAGGAAGGAGTGGATGCCATGGTGGCTGAGAAGCTGCTGCTACTCGCTGACGAGCTGGACGTCAACGTCCTGGCTCAGGACGACGCGGAGATGTCGTCCCTGCTGGTCGCGCGCCACATCCACGGGGGCTTGCGGTCCCTGCGTCGGAAGGCGGCAAAGGGGGCGGCCGGCCATGCCATGGCGACCACCGCCCTCCCATCGGAGGAGGTCTGCGGGGTGGAGCGGCGAGGGGAATGGAGATCGGCGGCACCGCAGGCTCGGAATGGACCGAGCCGCCAGGAGCAGCCCAGGTCATCTGGGGCGCTCACACGCTGCTACAACTGTGGCCTGCAAGGCCACGTTGCGTCTGGATGCCGGGCTCCCCGTCAGCGCGGGGCGACACCTCGTCAGGACGCCACGCCGTCTCCTCCCAAGCTCCAGCAGAGAAATACGGCGAGTCGCGGCACCTCACACGTTTGGCCCACGCACACATCCGACACACACTCACGCGCTCAACTAAACAGGGCTCCAAACTCCCCGTCCGTCGCGCGCGATTGTTCGGTAATGCGGCGAGCGCTCCAACCGGGTCAGTGGTCGGAGCTCGCCCATCGTGTCGTTGCTGCGTCGGCGGGATCATCGGTCGTGGTCGGTCACATTGATGGGGTAGAGGTGCGGATTTTAATTGACACAGGGGCATCGGCGACCATTATATCTGATTTAATTTAAAACATCCTTCCCGTTCAAAGTCGTCCCTTGCTCCCTGTTGACGTGCCGTGCTATGCCGCTAACGGAGGCTCTCTGGGCATTATTGGCCAAATCCGCGCCACTATCTGCATTGGAGACATTAAATTATCCGGCCCTGTTTTGGTTTCCTCCTCACTCGCGGTTCCGTGCCTGTTGGGGACGGATTTTCTGGCCAAAATGCCCATCCGTATCCTTATTGACCAAGGGTGCATTGAGCTCCCATCGGGCCGACGCGTTACATTTCTGTCTTCCCCCACCACGGAGCGTCGGGCGTTTGCCACCGTGCAGGCGCTCGTCACAAAAACTGTGCGCGTGCCTCCGGGGGCTCAGATGCTCGTCCCTCTTAGGTTGCGTCGGTCGTTTGATGCAGGGGTTGCGGATCGGGGGGTCTTGTTGGGTCCATCTCGGGCCGGGGTCAATGGACCCGATTTGCTCGCGGCTCAGACTATGGTGAGAGGGGATGGGGACCCCTTCATTGCAGTCCTTAATGTGGGATCGCGAACGGCCGTGGTTCCTCAAGGGACCGTGCTTGCACACGCAACGCCGGTGCCCTATGAGGAACCACTCGTGGGTCAGGTATCCACCGATCCTCCGTCGCGACCGCATTCGGACTCTGATGACGGATGGCTGGATGCGCTTTGCGCGGGTTCAGTGGACCTGTCTGACTCGCAGCGCGCGCAGCTGCGAGTTCTCCTGAGCGAATTTGCTGACGTTTTTAGTCAACACAAATTTGATATTGGTTGTACAAAATTGCTGCGACACCATATTGACACGGGTGACAGCGCGCCGATCCGCCAAAATCCCTTTCGGTTGAGTCCCGCCGAAAAGGATCATGTCAAATCGGCTGTTGATGACATGCTAGCCGCCGATATCATTTCCCCTTCCACCAGCCCGTGGGGCGCGCCGATCGTTTTGGTGAAAAAACACGACGGCTCACTGAGATTTTGTGTTGACTTTCGGCGTCTCAACAAAATCTCTGTGGCAGATGCGTACCCGCTTCCTCGGATGGATGAGTCGCTCGACGCCTTGGCCGGTGCGCGATTCTTTTCCACCCTTGATTTGCTATCTGGATTCTGGCAGCTTCCTCTGGATGACGAATCGAAACCTAAGACTGCTTTTCGTACACCGCAGGGCCTCTTCCAATTTAACCGTTTGCCGATGGGTTTACATTCTGCGCCGGCAACTTTTCAGCGGTTAATGGAATTGGTCTTGGCAGGTTTGCAATGGGATTCGTGTTTGATTTACTTAGACGATGTCATCGTCTTTAGCAAATCCTTCGAGGAACACCTCCAGAGGTTGCGTGCTGTTTTTCTCAAAATGCGGGCTGCCAATTTGAAATTTAAACCACAGAAGTGCCATTTACTCCGCGAATCGGTGCGATATTTGGGTCACATTGTTGGGCGCTCGGGGATATCCACTGATCCCGCCAAAACGGAATGCGTCAGCTCCTGGCCGACTCCCACCTCTGTGGGAGAGGTCAGGAGTTTCATTGGGTTCACGTCGTATTATCGGCGATTTGTGGCTGACTTCGCTACGATTGCGAAACCATTGCATGCCTTGACGTCCAAGGGAGTCAGGTTTCATTGGGGGCCGGAGGAGGAGGCTGCTTTTCGCGCCCTCAGAAATGCTTTGGTGGGAGCTCCGCCGTTGAATTACCCGGATTTTTCACAACCCTTCTTGCTCGATACTGACGCAAGTAACACGGGCATCGGGGGTGTGCTGTCCCAGCTCATCGGGGGCGTAGAGCATGTGGTGGCTTACGGTAGTCGGGTACTGTCTCCAGCCGAACAGCGGTACTGCGTTACCCGTCGGGAATTATTGGCCATTGTTTATTTCATTCAGCAGTACCGCCCGTATCTGTACGGTCGGCGGTTCACCGTCCGTACAGATCATGCGGCCCTACAGTACGCCCTGCGGGTTCAACAACCATCGGGCCAGTTGTCTCGATGGTTGGAGATCCTCCAAGACTATGACTTTGTCACCACATATCGTAAGGGTGTCCGCCACACGAACGCTGACGCCCTGTCACGATTGCCACCCACTTCGGAGTGCGCGTGCCTGTTGGGTTCGGGGCGTTGTAGGCCCCCGAACGTCACCACCGATTCGGTCCTCGTGGCCGCTACCGATGCACCTTCGGCTTCGGGTCCTATCGAGCAAGAAGGGAGGGATTCGTTGCTGGGGTTGCCGGTCGCGGAATGGGGACGCCTCCAAATGGAGGACACCTCCCTCCTCGCTTTGCGCCGTCGCGTCGGGGGGGCTGGTCAGGGGGTGGAAAACGTTGACTCGTGGGGGTTGTTCCAGGGTCTTTTGATGCACTGGGATGGAAAAACCCGGCGCCAGCGGCTTGTGGTGCCTGCTGCTTTAAGGGGTAAGGTGGTATGGGCTGTTCATGAGCGGCTTCTGCACTTGGGGGTTCACAAGACCTTTGCCACGCTCCAGCTGGATTTCTTCTGGCCGGGCATGGAAAAGGACGTGGGGGATCTCTTGGGGTCATGCACGCAATGCGCGCAGAGGAAGCCGCCTGCGAGGGGGTCCAACCCTCCGCTGCAGTCCATAAAAGTTTCCCGGGTTAACGAGCTCGTCGCTCTGGACATACTTGGGCCATTTCCCGCTACGCCCAGGGGCAATAGGTATTTACTAACGGGGGTTGAATACTTCACGAGATGGCCTATGGCCTGGCCCCTGGCGAACCAGTCGGCAGCAGCCATCGCGGAGGCCTTTGTCCAGGGCTATGTCCTCGACAAAGGTGCTCCGGAACGGCTGCTTACTGACCAGGGTAGGAATTTTTCTGGTAAACTCCTACGTGAGGTGTGCGACCTCTTGGGTACGGAGAAGGTTCGGACCTCTCCGTATCACCCACAAACTGACGGGATGGTGGAACGGCTGCATCGGACCATCACGTCCATGCTGTCCCAGCAGGTGTCGGTATCCCAGACGGATTGGGACCTCCGCATAGCCGGTGTGTTGCAGGCCTACAGGATGGCTCCTCATGCGGCCACCGGATTTTCCCCTTTCTTTTTAATGTATGGGCGCGAAGTTAACCCCCCTGTGGCGACCCAGCTGAAGCTCTCGGCGCTCCCGGCGAAGTCTAATTTGTCCGAACACATTAAATTTAACATCGCTAAATTGTCTGAGGCGCGGGAAGCGGCCGTGCAAAATTCTGAACTCCGCCAGAAGGCGAACGAGAGGCTTCGGTTGGGGCGGGTGCAGGTGGTCAAATGGGAACCAGGGGACAGGGCGTGGTTGCACTGTCCTCAGGTGCCGCTGGCAACCTCGTCGAAATTGGTACGGCCGTGGCGGGGGCCAGTGGAGGTCATGCAGGTTTTGCGGCCGCAATGTGTTCGCGTCTAATGGGGGAGGCGCCGGTGGTATGTGCACCCCTCAAGGTTAAAACCATTTGTCGCGCCGCCCCGTGGTTCACACACACACACGCATGGCCAAACGTGTGAGGGTGTCGCCGACTCCCCGTCGTCGCTGCACTCGCCTAACCTGACGCCAACTGTTCCGTCCCCAGGTGAAACAGGAGTGACGGGTCCACACCCACCAACCCCTCCCGGAGGGGTCGGGGGTCACTCGGCAGCGACGCCTGACTCTCTTGCACCCGGACCGTCAACAACCGTCACTGAGCGTGCCAGGACGGGCCCTTGTGACGGGCCCGCCGCGCGGACGCGCGCCAAAACGCGCAGACTATTGTGAGGTCGGCCGTTGGGGGGCCTTGCGGACAATGGGAGGGGTGGCGTCCGGAGTGTGTGTATATATGTTGGTTTTGGGGTATTTATTCGGGGGGGGTGCGTCGGGTTATTTTTTTTTCCTCTCTCTCTCTCTCTCTTCCTGTTGTTGTTCTTGTTAAGGTTCTCTTGTTCTTGTTAAAAATTACGCGAGGCACACACACGGGGTTTTTGTGAGGGATGCACCTTTATTCTGATTTTTTTTTTTTTGCAGCCAGGGACGGCTGCGAGCTGTACAGGGGGGGGTGATGTAGAGGTGTAATTGCGCATGGCTACGAATGTTGAGGTGTGATTATGCATGGCCACGGATGGCCAACAAACACAAGGGGCAGGGGTTACGGCCGTACACAAGGGTGGCGCTAGCACCGACGTCCGCATGTGTATCCCCCACGGGCCCCCCCCTCGGGGGCGAGTCCTATAAAAGGTGATGAGCTCGAGGGCTCGAGGTCGGGACTCAGCTTTAACCAGAGAAGACGGAAGACCAGCTAGTGTAGGCCCCAGAGCTCCCCTGGCTCGCTGTCCTTATAAGGGCCGACCAGGGCAAGCCGGTGGCGTGGCCCCGAGAGCCCAGACGAAGCTGGTCTGGTGACTCAGGGAGCCGGGATCCCAGCTTAACCAAGCTGGGACAGATAGCCTCCCCTAGTCCCGTAGTGGAGGAATTGGTATAGGTTAGAGGGGTTAGCTGTCGAGAATCCCTGTAGCCAAGTGACCTGTACAACTGTGTTGGTGTAATAAATAAGTGTGCCTCCGATCCTGTCGTCAAGCCTCCATATATACTTACTACAAAGGTACAATACAGACTGGGACATAAAACACTGGAAGGGGTGTCGGCCCCTTCACCCGTCTAACTGGGGAGACACACTCTAGGCTACCCCTAGCCTACCTCTCGATCCTCCACTATCGGGCTAGGGGAGGCTAGCTAGCCCAGCACTGGCCAACTGGGCTTATGGCGCCCGGAGTCCCCAGACCAGCTCTGACAAGAGCACCGGCTCTGGCTCTCGGGGCCACGCCACTGGCTCGGTCCTGGTTGGCCCTGACAAGGGCGGCAATCCAGGGGAGTCCAGGCCTCTATCTAGCAGATCTTCCTTCTTCACTGGTTAAGCTTCATACATTCTGCCTCGAGCCCTCCGGCTCACCCCCTTATATACCAACTCCCCCCCCTGAGGGGTGGGGCCCCGGGGGATCCCAGCTCCGAGTCAGCCCCCCAGGCTGCCCGGTGCGGACGTCGCTGTGAGCACCCCCCTGTGCACCGACATAGCCACGCCCACTGTTTGTTTACCATCTGATACCATTGTATAACAGCCCCTCCGTAACACCCCTACATCACCCCCCCCTGTACAGCTCGCAGCCGTCCCGGCTGCACCAAAATAACAATACAGATGTATCCCCCCCTTGAACCCGTGTGTGCCTCACAAATTTTTAACAACAATAACAACAACAAGAACAATAACAACAGCAAGATAAAACAACCCGACTCACCCCCCCCTCCCCGATTAAATACCGAATCCCGTAAAAAACAACATATATACAATTTTCAGGGAAAAAAACAACACATATACAAATCTCAGAAAAACAACATATATACAATTTTCAGGATCTCACAAAAGTCTGCGCATTTTTGCGCGCATTCTTGCAGCAGGCCCGTCACATGGGGCAACCCCGGTGGGTGCAATGGTAGGTGTCAACAGTCCGGTTTCGAGGGAGTCATTCTTTGCTGCTGAGTGACCCCCGACATCCCCAGGAGGGGTTGGCGGGTGTGAGCCCGTCACTCCCGGTGCACCTGGAGGCGGAACAGTTGACGGCAAGTTAGGGGAGAGCAGCGAAGCCGGACCCCGGGAGTCGGCGGACCCCTCACATGTTTGGCCATGTGTGTGTGAAGTGGGAACATGGACCGCAATGAACGGTTTCAATCTGGAGGGGTGCACGAACCACCGACGCTTCCCCCATTTGATACGCACACACTGTGGCCGCAAAACCTGCACCACTTCCACAGGACCCCGCCACGGCCGCACCAGCTTAGAGGAGGTTGCCAGTGGTACTTGGGGACAGTGCAACCACGCCCTGTCACCTGGTTTCCACTGAAGTACATGTGCCCGACCCAGCCGGAGTCTCTCATTAGCCTTCTGGCGGCGGTCCGAATTCTGCATAGCCGCCTCCCGTGCCTCAGTCAATTTATCGATATTGAATTTAACATGTTCGGCCAATTTAGATTTACCCCGCGGCGTGGAGATCTGCAGCTGTGTCGGAACAGGTGGGTTAGGCTCGCGGCCGTACATTAGGAAGAAGGGTGAAAATCCCATCGCCGCATGGGGAGCCATCCTGTATGCCGCCAACACCCCCTAAATCTGAAGGTCCCAATCGGTCTGTGAGTCAGAGACCTGTTGGGACAGCATGGACGTAATAGTCTGATGCAGACGCTCCACCATCCCATCAGTTTGCGGATGGTATGGGGAGGTACGAATCTTTTTCGTTCCCAGGAGCTCGCAGACTTCGTGGAGAAGTTTACCCGAATTTTTTTTACCTTGGTTGGTCAGCAGCCGCTCCGGAGCACCTTTGTCGAGGACGTATCCCTGGACAAAGGTCTCCGCGATGGCTGCTGCCGACTGGTTGGCGAGGGGCCAGGCCATAGGCCAGCGCGTAAAATATTCAACCCCGGTCAATAGGTATCTATATCCCCTAGGTGTAGCGGGAAATGGACCTAGAATATCAAGCACAACAAGCTCGTTCACCCTGGAAACTTTGATAGATTGCAATGGTGGGTTAGACCCCCGCGCCGGTGGTTTCCGTTGTGCGCACTGAGGACATGACCCTAACAGATCCTCGACATCCCTTGTCATGCCCGGCCAAGAAAAATCCAGCTGCAGCATGGCAAGGGTCTTCTGAGATCCCAGGTGGAGGAGACGCTCATGCGCAGCCCACACCACTCTACCCCTCAAAACAGAAGGCACCACCAGCCGGTGTCGGTGGGATCTCCCGTCCCAATGCATCAACAGACCCTGAGCCAACCCCCACGAGTCGACATCCCCCCCCCCCCCCCGACCAGCTCCCCCGATGCGACGGCGCAAAGCGAGGAGGGAGGTGTCCTCCATCTGGAGGCACCCCCATTCAGCAACAAGCAACCCCAACAAGAAATCCTTCCCCTGTTGTTCAATCGGACCCATCATTGAAGGCGCGTCAGCGGTAGCCGCCAAAACCGGATCAGACATGTCATTCGGAGGCTTGCAACGCCCCGACCCAAGGAGGCACGCGCATTCGGAGGTGGTTGGCAGCCGTGACAGAGCGTCCGCATTCGTGTGGCGAATGCCCTTACGATACGTAGTTTCAAAATCGAAGTCTTGGAGAATCTCCAACCATCGAGACAATTGCCCCGATGGCTGTTGAACTCGCAGGGTGTACTGTAGTGCCGCATGATCTGTGCGGACGGTGAAATGACGACCGTACAGATATGGTCGATACTGTTGAATGAAGTTAACGATTGCCAATAGTTCCCGACGGGTGACACAGTATCTTTGTTCCGCCGGAGACAACACCCGACTGCCGTACGCTACCACACGTTCCACGCCGTCAACCACCTGCGAAAGCACGCCCCCCATTCCCGTGTTGCTCGCGTCCGAATCGAGCAAAAAGGGTTTAGTAAAGTCAGGATAAATCAATGGCGGAGCTCTCACCAGAGCGTCCCGGAGGGATCGAAAAGCAGCCTCCTCCTCCTGTCCCCAGTGAAACCGGACCCCCTTCGATGTCAAAGCATGTAAGGGCTTTGCAATCTTCGCAAAATCAGCGACAAACCGTCGGTAGTATGACGCGAATCCAACAAAACTCCTGACCTCTCCCACAGAGGTGGGAGTCGGCCAGGAGCTGACACATTGCGTTTTGGCGGGATCGGTAGCAATACCTGAGTGTCCGACGATATGTCCCAAATACCGCACTGATTCACGTAACAAATGACATTTCTGGGGTTTGAATTTCAAATTGGCAGCCCGCATTTTGAGAAAAACCGCCCGCAACCTCTGGAGGTGTTCGTCGAATGTTTTACTGAAGACGATGACGTCGTCCAAATAAATCAAACATGAATCCCATTGCAACCCAGCCAAGACCAATTCCATCAATCGCTGGAAAGTTGCCGGCGCTGAGTGGAGCCCCATCGGCAACCGGTTGAATTGAAAAAGGCCGTGCGGTGTACGGAAAGCAGTTTTAGGTTTTGAATCGTCATCCAGAGGGAGCTGCCAGAATCCCGAAAGCAAATCCAATGTGGAGAAGAATCGCGCCCCCACCAAGGCGTCAAGCGATTCGTGCATCCGAGGAAGCGGGTATGCGTCGGCAATAGAAATTTTGTTCAGCCGACGAAAATCGACGCAAAAGTGCAACGAGCCATCATGTTTTTTAACTAAGACAATCGGCGCACCCCAAGGGCTGGTAGAAGGAGAAATGATATCGGCGGCTAACATGTCATCAACAGCCGATTTGACATGGTCCTTTTCGGCGGGACTTAACCGAAAAGGATTCTGGCATATTGGCGCGCTGTCACCCGTGTCAATATGGTGTCGCAGCAAATTAGTACAGCCCAGATCATATTTGTTTTGACTAAAAACGTCGGAAAACTCGCGCAGAAGGATTCTAAGCTTTCCACGCTGTGAGTCGGACAGGTCCGACGATCCCGCACAAAGCGCATCGAGCCACCCTTCATCCCCGTCCGTATGTGGTCGCGGTGGAGGAGCAGTGGTTACGTGATTAATGACGGGTTCCTCACAGGGCACCGGCATTGCGTGTGCAAGCACGGTCCCTTGAGTAACCACCGCCGTACGCGACCCCACATTAAGGACCGCGATGAAAGGGTCCCCGTCCCCTCTCACGATGGTCTGGGCCAGTAATAAGTCAGGTCCGCTAACCCCGACCCTAGATGGTCCGAGCAGAACCCCCTGGTCCCCAATCCCCTTAGCAAATGGTCGACGTAGCCTAAGAGGCACGAGCATCTGGGCTCCCGGCGGTACGCGTACTGTCCTTGTAACCAGCGCCGGTACCTTCGCAAACACCGTCCGACCCGTAGAGGGGGATGGCAGGAACGAAACACGTCGGCCCGACGGAAGCTCAATGCAACCCTGATCGACCAGGATACGAATCGGCTTTTTGGCCAAGAAATCCATCCCCAGCAGGCACGGAACCGCCAGCGAGGAGG